AAATTCCTTGTGTATGTTTTATACTTGGCCATTAAAGTATTGGTATTGGTATTGGTATTTTCTGACGTTGCCTTCATCTCAACTTCATCTCATACCTGAAGCAGCTGAAAGTTGCCTTTAGTTTTTCCAGTGTGAGTGTTTTCTTTTCCTCTTCAAGAAGACAACAAGCTGCAGCAGTTTTGCCATAAGTGCAATCAGTTGCACTTCCCTGAACACAAGGTTTTTGTCATAGTCAGATGAGCCCCTAGGGTAGAGACCAGCTCAATACCTATGGACTGCTTTAGGCTGGGGCATGCCCCCTCCCTTCCAGCCCCTGGGCCCTGCCTTTCAGGCCATTCTGCTAACCCATAAAGAGAAAAAAGGGCAGGAAATGATTTTTAATCAACTTTAAGGATGCAAGAAAAGCTAGAACTAGCCATATTAGAAAATGTACATGAATATACATATAATGTCTCTGAACAGTTTTCAGCTGCAGGGTTAACTGTACTGTGAAGTGAAGTTAGTATTCTTGGTAATTAAAAATGGATTATAACAAACAGTATTTTTATGTATTAATGAAAGAATATCATGCTGAAATTCATTTGGCTTTTAAATTGCATCAACCCTGATTCCTTTTTTATATTCCAAGATATTGCAAATAGACTATTTTGATTGTGCTTTGAATATGAAGAGCTTTGGGCAAAAAGCAAAATCAATGATTTTTTATGCTTACTAATCCAATTTGTTTTCTGTCTTAAATTCAGATCTTTCTCTTTCAAGAAGCTTATCTCACTGGGAAATGAGACGGGTAAGTTTTCAATGCTCATTTAAAATGACAGTTGAAGGATGGATGTATAATCTTGGAGAGTTGTGTGAGTAGGTATGCATGATGCACTAATGTTGACTTTTGATAGTTTCTAAATGACATTGCATCTATAGATTCAACTGCAATTCAAGCAGTTACCTGTCAAGATCTTAGATTAATTACCTGTTGGAGCTCTCCTCAAAATAGAGTTTTCTGGCTTTGTGCTAATGTGTGATTTATGGAATATGTCAAATCTCAGAAAGTATATTTATTTACTTATTTACAGAAGCCTTTGTTTGCTGCCTACCCCATAGATTCTATGGATCATACAGACTGGTATTGCAGTAAATCTTCCAATGAGGTCTTGCATGGTTCAAATGAAATTAACCATTAAAATTGAATGATGTCTGTATATCAGCGGTATTACTTTGGCAGCAGTTTTTAGGCAGACTTGTTCTGCCTTGTGTAAATAATGCTTGCATATGAAAGTACAGAAAAAATTGATGATAGAAAACTTGTGCTCTGCTGTAAAGGGCTGCTTTGCTTATCCACCCAAAGTGTATATTGTGGTTTAATGCTGTCAGTAATAGCGTAAAGGAGATTTTTCAGCCTGGTTAATGTCAAACTCACTGTTATCTTTCTGATGGTAATAATTTAAGTGCGTAGAAACAGCCAGAATAATTCTTCAGCTGATCTGAGGTCATTGCTCTAGAAGAATACAAAGAAATTGCTTAAGAGCCAGCCAAGCAATAGTCAAACAAAAGTGTGCGGATAACCTAAGACTGGCTCAGGAAAGTTAAACAATTGAAATAGCTATCATACAATATTATTGATAAACTATTGTTCCTTTTTACTTTCTTATTCTAAAGATTAATTGTGAAGAGCTTTTGTCCACTGTTTTTAGAAATCTGCATCCACCTTTCCCAACCTAAAACTTCAGGAATTATTCAACTGTGTGGGAATTCTGGGAATTTTAACCACAGCATATCTGGAAATTATTAGGTTGAAGAAGGCTGCCCTACATTTTTGTTTTACTTTTGTTATGGCTGTTCTGGAGTATTGCAATTCCCTGAGCAGATCTACCATTAAAGCATTTTTAAATATTTTCCCTCTTTAGGCAAAAGAAATGGCGATGATCCAGGCTTCAGAAAACACCATGAGCAAGATGCCTCGGCAGCGGAGCCGTTGGATCCAGCCAACGAGCAGCCTAGAGATGACTGTTAAATCTATGCTTGATCTACGCCAACTGGAGTCTTTCTCAGTCTCTTGTTCTGCTAGTCAGGATTCTCTTTCCCAGGCCAGCAATGGAGATGACCACAAAGAGCATGCCAATGTCTCACCTTGTGCCAAGAATGTAAGAAATTCCCTTCTCAAATTGGAAAAAAAACAAACAAACCAGGAACTTCCTTGGTTTTGCCAGGCTGGGGGTGGTGGTGGTAGGGAAGAGATGTTCTGCAATGAAACCTCTGGTTCTGGCTTAAGAAAACTCTAGTAGAAAGGACTATAGCCATATAAAAGCATTAGTAAAAAATGCTCCAATCCCTTTGTTCTGTTTTAAAACAGAAACAATAGCCTGCTAAATGAGTAAATAATGCTGGTGGATCAGTTCATGCCTCTCTTGTCAGGTGGTTTGCTACAGCATTCCCTCTCCTAGGTTTAAATTCTTGCATGCAGCTTTACTGATATACAGGTATTGTGCTTCACTACTCGATTACTTTTCCAGGGGGGAGGCTCCACAGCTCTTCAGGAAAGTCAGCCTTGCCTTCGACCTCAAGTTATTAGACTTGTGTCCTGTGAAGGAGGGATTTTCTCACAGGAAATGGAACCTTCAGAGAGTGAAGAATGTGTCATCTACCCAGAACAAGATGATCTTCCTCCCACTGATATCAGCAGGTCAGAAATACATTTGTTTCTGTGCCTTGACTTATTTATTGGATTTGAAGGCCACCCGGGACCAGAATGACTCTGATTGGCTTAGGGTCTTTACTTTTAGTGATGGAGCCAAATAAAATGATTGTTATACTAAATGAAAGATATTCTTTTGGAACTGGGATTAAGAGCTGTTGTCATGGTGATACACAATGTCTCTTCAGTGACTACACAGATTTGTGCAAATTGCTCATTGGCTGAATTATTTATATGAGATCTAATGATCTACACTGACAGACAGCCTCAAACTCTGTGTGAATGCAAGTTTTCAAGTCAGAGTGGACTTTAAAATCAGAGTCATATTAACTGCAGAAAGTACGCATGGGGGGGGGAATAATCCAAATGGCAGCATCTGGCTATGAAAAGAAAAATAATCTTGCATAACTGATGAAAATGGTAAGATTTAAACATATCCTTTTACGATATCATTACAAGTAAGGTCAGGAGGAGGGTTTGTTTCTTGTATTGTATTCGTCCCTTCTCTTACAGTGAGTTCCAAGTAAAAGCTCTTCCTCATGGAAAACTGAGCAGAGGCTACAGCAGCCGTGAGGGCCCAGATAAGCATAGCCCTGACAGTGCTTGTTCTGTGGATTATAGTAGCAGCCGACTGTCAAGCCCAAATGAAGGTGAGTGTTTTGAAATCAATTGGACTCATAGCCCATCCAATTTTCACTACTAATCAATTTAATCTTGGCCACAAAACCCACCTCAGATTAAAAGAGTACCTTTTAATTCTAAACTCCATTTGAAATGTTCTCAGATACAGGCTTAATTGAAGTGCTAACTAGCATCTGATTTACTGTCTAAATACTTGGGAAAATCACTAGACCACACATTGCACAGGCAGAATTATAGCTCTGTGTTCTGCAGTATAGCTTTAATCTTTCCAACCTGTGGAATTACTACAATGCTTGGCAAATTGCTCAAGAAAAAATAGTGTGTAATGGAATTACAACACTAGTTACTCAAATAGATTAAAAAGTGAAATTAACCTTGGCTTAGAATGTATTAAATACCCTGCGTACCATCAGTTTTTTTAATCAATGGAAACTACTAGACAAGCAATTGCTAAGAATTTTAGGAGTTTAAGTAGGTTCATTTGAAGAGCACCCAGGTTGGAGAGGGCTGCTGTAAAATTACAACAAACCATCTTTAATTATACTGATTTGCACATAATGAGTTCAGTCCTTGAGGTAGCATACAAACTTAACAGTCTACTGCTATGGAAATTTTATTCATAGAAATTTTATTCATAGAATATCATTATTCTAGTGCTTTGGAAAGTTTTAAGCATGGGTTCATTTTAAGGCTATATTGATTCTGTGTAAGTTAATGGGATGTATTCTTGGTAATGGGAAATTTTTTTCTATTTATCTGTAGCCCAACTTTTATCTTCTGCTGCTGGGAAAGATAATATAGAGAGAGTTTCCCAAGCAGCATGACATCTTTCAGCCTTTGTGGAACCTTTGCCACAAGCAGTAGCTTTAACACTCTCCTCCCTCACTCCCCCCCGCCCAGCCCTTTACAGGTAGTCCTCACCTAACGATGGTAATTGGACCAGAATTTCTGTCATTAAGCAATGTGGTCGTAAAGCACATCACATGACTGTACCGCTTAGCGACAGTAGTTCTGGCACTTCCAGTTGCTGTAATTAAGTGAATCCCATGCCATTGTTAAGTGCGACATCACATGGTCACCATTTGTGACCTTCAGTCACTTCCCCATAGACTTTGCTTGTCAGAAGCCAGCGGTGAAGGTCACAAATGGTGATCATGTGACAGCAGGATGCTGCAACAATGTAATTGCGAGCCAAGCTCCTGGATCACAATCACATGACTGTGGGAATGCTGCAACAATTGTAAATATGAGAACCGGTCATAAGTACCACTTGTTCAGTACTGTTGTAAGTTTGAACAGTCACTGAACAAGTGGTCATTAAACAAGGACCACCTGTATAACCAAATTAGGTATGATGCAGTTGATACAAATAGTGGGAATGCAAATGCAAAATTTCTAATGAAAAATTGGGAGATATAGCAGCTTGAGACCAGATGGAGTCCCTACGAATAAAGTACTTGTTTGTCCTCTGTTTATTTGGTCAAGGGATTCTCTATATATGCAACAGAAAATATAGAAAAAAAGAGCCTGCCAGAACAGCCTGACAAGGACCTATACAGGAAGAAGGGTTTAAATTTGAGTGGATGCATTCTGTGAGAGTAAAAAAAAAAATTAAAAAAAATCTGGCCAGGATCACTCAGAGAATAAGATGTATGGGATGGGAAAGAGAAGTTTACTGAAGCTTTTGAAGTACCATGGGGATGAGAGCTTAAGGTTGGCTGAATTAATTCTGTGAGGGCAAGTTTTTTTCTCTGTGTAGGACTTTTTCAAGTAAGGACAAAAAACAAGTTTCCCCTACCTCATTTCCCCCCACCCATAAACCCCCCCAAACAAACAAATGTCATCTGCAAATGTTAGAGACTGAAGTTGTTAATACTCCAGACAATGCTGGCTAGGGAATTCTGAGAGCTGAAGTCCAGACATCTTAAAGTTGCTAAAGTTGAGAAACACTGCTCCAGACTGAACCCTTCCTGTATAGCATTGCAGGGAAAAGGCAAGAGAGAAAATGGGATGATGATGATGATGATGATGATGATGATGATGATGATGATGATGTAAAATTAAGCCTGAAACTGTAGATCACTTATTAGTGTTGTAGAAAAAAATCTCAAACAGAGCATAAACAATGTCGTCATAGGGTTGAAAAAATTGTTGGCTGTTTACAAATGCCACGGGGTTCATGTGCCTAAAAAGTTTTGCAAAGTGAGATCAACATTTTGAGAGATTTCAGAATTCAAACTAGTAGACACATAAAACATAATACACCAGACATTACTGTTACAGAAAAAAAAGTATGGTTCACTGATGTGGCAATGCCCAGAGACAGTTTAATTGATGAAAAACAACTGGAGAAAGTAACAGAATATTGTGATTTTAAAATTGAGGTTGAAAGATTATGGTGAAAAAAAAAAGTTGTCATGCCAGTTGTAGTCATAGCTTGATGCACTACCAAAATATTTAGAAATTTTTAAATTTATTGGACTTGACAGACTAATTTTATGAAATACTACCCTACTTGGAACAACGTACTTATTACCACAATACCTCCCTGACTCTTAAGTCCTTGGCTAGTTCCTGAATCATTAGAGTCAACATTCAGTTGATTAGACAGTGATATCCATTTGGACAACTAGAATAACAATAATAATACCATCCCCATGTGCTCAGCCCTGTTAATATGGACATGGACCAAGAATTTTTCTGTTAATGGTGTAGTGACATAGTGCAATATATTGCTATATCATGTTTTGTATAAATTGCATATGATGTGTACCATTTCCCATTTCAGATTCTGAGAGTACTGAACCTCTCAGTGTGGATGGTACTTCAGACTTGGATGAGCAAGTGGGAGAAGATGATGAGGAGGATGTAAGCACTGGACTATTGGATGGAGATGTACCCACGACTCCAGATCAAGAAAAGTTCCTCAAGCAGCATTTTGAGACTCTAGCCAGTAACAGTGAGAAGGGTATATTAACATATCTAATGAAAACTAGAATTGTTCACTCCATTTTCCCTGTCAGGCACCACTACCTTGATCTTTGATACATTAATTTGTAGATTCATACCCCTCATTGCCTCATACAGTCTATAAGAACCTAAGCTGTGCCCTGCTGAATCAGACCCATGGCCCATTTAGTCCAGCAGTCTGTTCTCACAGTGGCCAACCAAGTACAAAAGCAAGCCCACTAGTCTCCCAGCAGATGGCCTTCAGCCATTGATCCCCATTACTTCCATGAATCGGTCCAACCTTTTTCTGAAGCCAGCCAAGCTGGTAGGCATCCATCCATCCATCCATCCATCCATCCATCCATCCATCCATCCATCTCCCCCTAATGGTGTGTGTGTGTGTGTGTGTGTGTGTTAAATAAGAGCTTCTAAGCCCAGACAGAAACAGCTGAATTATCTAATGTTAGAAGAAAGAGTCATAGGAGCTTATGGCCATAAATTAGTCATGATGAAACTAATATTTATCTATTAGTTTGCAATCCTGAGAAGAATGGCAATAAGTCCCATTGAACTCACAGAATAATAAGGAAATATGCTGTGTGGCACAAAACAAAGTAAGCTATTTTAGGGAACTAGCTTCATTCCTGTACACTGCAAGCAAAATAGAAAGCCCTAAGTCAAGTTTCTCTTGCTGAAATGTCACAAATCCCCTGTACCTTTTCATCCCTAATTTGAGTTTCCTCCTTTTTAAATGACAGACGGATCATGTAGGACCCTGGAAAGAATGGAAAACAGTATTTCTTCCCGGTTTCTATCTCGGTTTCCAGCACTCAGGTAAAGTTCCACTTTTTATGAATACAAAAGAGCCTTGTGTTTGCTCAGACATGGCAAGCTCAGGTGGTGGATTTTCTGGGTCTTGAGGGAAGAGGTGTGATTGGATGAAGCTTCCAGGCTTCTAGATGCATACTTGCAGGAAAAGCCCAAGAAGACCAAAGTGCCCAATGTTTGATTAAGATACTTATAATTGCATTTATTTCTTAGGCTCGATAGATAAGTCCATTGTGGCATACATGAAGACTGAACCTTGAAATCTCATTTACTCTTTGCTATTTAGGCATTTCATTTTACTTCAGCATTTCATTCAACTTGAACAACTAAAAAAAAAAAGTACTGTTCCCTCTTGTTTACTAATCAGTTCCAATCTGGTTTCATTATGCGAAGGACAAAAGAGCTTACTCTCCACGTGCTACATGAAAATTTCATTTCTTATTACAGAAATATTATGCATGATAGAGTGTGAAAATTGACGTTTTTGTGTATTGGATAAGGGTGTTTATTCCTATTGGGAAACCTTTAGATCTGCTTTTTGTTGGCATGCAAGAGACCAGAGCAACTATCTCTTATTAAGCCAAGAGGAGCTTCCTCTGATAATAACAGAGACTTACTGTTCCTTGCTTTAACTTCCTCCTTTTCACTAAATCATTCTGTCAGATACAGCCATGCATGATTAGCCCTTCTTTCCTTATCTGCAATTGTTTTATAAGGAAAGTGTGTGTGTGTGTGTGTGTGTTTGTGTAAAGAATTAGTCTTAAATATTATTTTATGGCCTTAGGGGTAACAGCTATATAGGACTACTGTATTTTGTAGTAAATGGTAATAATGCAATAATGTAATCATTATTTTATGTAGTAGTAGATGGTAGATGGTAATAATGCAACATAATGATGGCACATAATCATAATCAGTCAAATATCTTGTCCTGTCTTTGATTCCATAGGGAACTTTCACCTTCTTCATCACAGCTAGTACTGGATCAGAAACCTACTGAAGGGTCTGCTTTGCCAAAGCAAGTTTCCACTGAACTGCTGAAAAATGGGTTTGACCATCAGCACATGCCCATGGAGAATGGCTTCTTTCAAAATAATATTAATTCCATTAGGTCACTTTATATGCAGAAAAAGAGAAAGTCTGCTGTAGAGATCAACAGAGGGTGTGGAAGATCTGTTGGGCCTTTCCCAGATAGTGATGGAGCAGTGGTGCTGAGGAAATCTCAATCAGTTCATGATCTTGTTCATAATGGTAAGGAAGTACCTTCTATGAAATGGTTAGAGTGATGATTCCATAACAGGACTCTGTCTCTGAGGTTGAAAATCCTTGATATGTCCATTCAGAAATCACAAGTTCCCTTACAACATGTAGTTACCAATAGATCTCAGAGGTGGCTTGAGCTGGACATACACTGATCAGAAGGAAATGCTAATTCCTATTTCTGATGACAAGAAGAGTGTTGACTTGCCTCTTTCAGAAGGCTATCATTGTTTAAAAAATAGACTAAAATCTGGTGGTCCCCGAAAGGAATTTCTAAGACCACAGGATTGTCTAGATCTTTCTTTTAGAAGGGTGTGAAAGAGGTCTGCCCTCAGAGGGGAAAATCAAGTCTCACTCACCTGCCCTTCCCAGACCCTGTGGAAACATTAGCTGCCCTTCCCTCCCAATCAATTGTGAAAAAAGTAAATGGGTCAGGAAGCATTCTGCTGGTTTGCTGGATGAGACTTTGGCAATCCTCCCATGCCCCTGACATACCCCAGGACTTGGAGAGTCCTACGGAAACCCTGAACATAATTCCCTTCCCCTGCTTCCCTTGACATCGGTGGGAGGGCAACGGTTTTAAGAAAAAGAAAAAAAAAGAGGAAATAAAAATGGTAACTGCTTCTCCTTCTCTTCTGCCCTGGTGAGTTGAGCTTGAAAAGGCTTTGGATTCTCTGTCGTAGACAGAGTTTCCCCTGTCTAAATAGACTTTAAAGCATCCAGAACATCTTGGTAATAAATCAGTCCAGTGTCATGGAAGCTGTCATTCATATCGTAGAAAATAGTCCTAGTTTGGGGAATGGCATCTCCCAGTTTTTACACGTATTACATGTGCTCTTTGGGGCTGTGTTTGTTTTTCTCTGTGTTTTGCATTATCCAAAGGGTGAAATTCTGTGACAGCAATAACAAAACATTGATTATTATTCTGTGGCTATTTTTTGCCTTAAAGGGGATATGTTATTGCAACTTTCAAGTGGTTTGTTTATTACACATGACACAGAACAAAAGACCCAAATAGGACATGTAACACTATTTCTAGTTTGTGATCTTCAATCAGAAATTAAAGCAATGATGTTTGGAGAAGAACTATGTAGAACAAAGTACAATAGCTCAAAAATATTCAAATAACATTGTTATTTTGCTTACCATTTCTTCCAGAAATTGAAGTGAAATAATTACATTTAGAAGCTGGAGCTATTTTAATTCTGACTGCACAAATTGCTCCAGACCAGTTGTGTGCATTTATTTATTCCATTTCTACAGATAAGATTCCTGGTGTGATGCTGTCTGCCAGGCAGAGGCCTCAGGCACTAATGGTAGGTGAGAAGGAGCCAAAATCCAATAACTGTCAGACATTTTCTGCAACACTGTCGAAGATGGATAGTTCCAGCTTTTTGCAAGCCAAAGACATTAAAGCTGCAAAACCAAAGTCTTATATGAGTCCTACCACTAGCTTCATGGCCAAGGTGTCCCGTAGTGTGTCTGTGGGAGAGAATCTGTGCTTTGGTGATGGTTCAGAAAACCAGAATGAAGTGAAAATTAGCCCACAAGTATCAGAGAAAACAGGGTTAAGTGTCTTAGAGGACATTGAGAAGAGCAAGCCGTTTGTGAAAGACAACAGCCCAGTGAAACCTTCTCTTCAGCAAACTGCAAGCTCTTTATCACCCCAGTCCTTTCATAGCAAGTTGGCATCTAATCGAGCTCATTTGATCCTTGACATCCCCAAGCCTCTACCTGATAGACCAACATTAGCTTCTTTTTCACCAAAGACAAAGTCAAAAACTGTGCTAGGATCAGAATCTCCTCAATCACCTGGTGCTGTTGGGAAAAAAAAGCTGTCTTTTCCTGAAGGATGGGCCTCAACATTGGAAGGTCAAGCATCTGGACCACTTGGCCTTGGTAAAAGTAGCCCATTGAGTCCCTGTGCAGACGCTCTGAAAGAGAACCAAACACAATTGAGGACCAAAGTCCAACGTGATCCAAGAGTAACTAATCCCAAACTAAAAGAGCTTTCAGACGAACTACATCCAATTTCTCCAGAAAAACGGCTACTGGAATGCAGAGACAAAGTTGCTATTGCTAGTTATGTGCCAGCTAATCATGAGCATTGCTCTTTTGAACAAAATGGGCCAAGGTCTCCTACAAATGCAGAAGGCCTTGGAGAGGATTCAGGTGTGCACAGATATCCATCTCCTACCTTTTTCCCCCTTTTGTCTTTGTGTCTTTGTGAACTGCTCCACATTTCCATCGTATTTACATCTAGCTTCTGGCTGTCTCGTCCTGTCTGCACAGTCTCGTTCTATAAGCCATCCTTTCAGTGGTGAGACATTTCAGTCTGACATTATTTTTTTCTATTTCTGTTTCCAGTTTTTCTTACATTTTGTTTTGGTGCATGCAAACGTTACAGTTCTCATGTTTTTCTTTTTCAAAAGGGAAGTTAGGAATAGGAATAAAAGTGGACATAAATAAAGCTTTTAAGTAATGTTCTATATTATGGAAAATTGGATTTTATGCCCAATCTTGCCAGAACTTACAGTATTAAATTCTCATCTTTTCTGCTACTATAAGTTTGTTATACTTAAGCAGTATAAATTCAATTCAAGTATATGTAAAAAATAAGATACTTGGCTAAAAGAGATTGTTGTGTGGTGGTAACCATTGCTACTGGTAACCACTGATGCTGAAGAAAAAAAAAGCAATATCTAGAATTTAAAAGATACATTTCTAATATTCTAAGGCGTTTCAAGCTCTACTAACATGAAATGGGGGGGGGGTTACAGAAATGTTTGCAAGAGATAAAAATCTGTCCATTGATAAAGCAGATTCCTCCACTCTGCAGAGTACACTCCCAAAATCTGTTCTGGAAAGTTGAGAGCCTCTCAGGAGCAGACTTGGGTACATAGAGGGGAATGGAGAAAATGGCCCTATACTAGCAGAAGCCCACTTGCAGAAAATTGAGTGTCTCCTGTAATACAGGTCTTTCTGTTGGATTTCATGGTGGTAAGATACCTTTGTACCACAAGTCACTTTGGTTTGAGTAAGTTTGTATTGCAGATCATGTGAACTGGGCTTATTTACAAGAGGCTACTAACATTGAACATATCACAAAGTAATTTTTAAAAGGTCTTTTAATCTATTTGAAAACAAATATTTGAAAACAATTTTTCTCAGGGGAATTCAAAATATTTTGAAATCCTAATAAATTTAAAATATCAGTTCAAGGTAAATAACATTTGAAGAACAATTTTAGACAACATAAATGAAAATAGGAAAATGATATCAATTTAATCTCTTTAGCACTGAAAATATAACAAAGCAAACTCTAAGTGTGTCTTATTGGCGAGGTAATTTCAGAGCTCTTGCGTCCAGTCCTAGGTAATCAACTCTGAATATAATCTCTTGGTTTGTGTGGGAAATTGAAGGAGTCATTCTTTCAAAGACTGTAGGCTGTAAGATGCTTTAAATGTTAATACCAGCACCTTGAATTAGGATAGGAAATGAGCTAGAAGGCAATAAAGAGGATGCAATGGTGGCATGTTATCATAATGCCGGCTCCATTGAGTGCTCCTGCTTTAACTGGAAATTTTTGGACTGTCTTCAGCAACAGCCCCTCCTACAGTGAGTTGCAGTAACCAAGATGAGAGAGTACCATAGCTTGTATTAACTGAAGTAAGGCTATCTTCTCTATCCGGTAGAATTGGAGCTGGCTACAAATAAATAAGACATAATTTGAATATTTTAAATATAAAGAACTAGCTAACAAGTGCCAAAATTTGAGGTTCAGGCCAAATTTACCCCCCTCTAGCCGCTATTCTTACTGGTTCTAAAGACAAAATTGGATCTAGAAGTATTCCCAAGCAATGAATTTGATCATTCAGATCTTCTAGAACAGATTGAATAACCTTTACCAAGACAAATCAGTCCTGTTTTACCTGTATTGACTTTCAGTTTATTGGCTCTTATTCTATTCAAGCCCATGGCCAGGCACTTTTACTACCTCACCTGAACTTGATGAAAAAGAGAAAGAGGTCTGTATGGCATCAGAACACTGGTAGCATTTTATTTTAAAACTCTGAATGACATCACTCAACAATTTAATGTAGTTGTTAAACAGCAAGATACAGTCCTGTGGAGCTCTGTAGTGTAAACAATATTGTATAGCATTGAGCAGAAATCTCCCAGATGCACAACATGGATCTGGCCATCCAAATTTGAGCAGAACCATTGTAAAGCTATTCAACACATACCTAATTCAAACAAACTTTCCAGAAGGATATCATGGTTGGTAGTATTGAAAGCTGCTGAAAGGTAGCTCTTTCCCTTCTTCCCTGCAGCAAAGATGATTTCACAGAGCAACCAGAGCAGTTTCACTGACAAAGACAAATCTAAGTCCTCTTTGCAGTGGATTTAGAGAATGCATTTCATCCAGAAATAATTTATTCACCACCCTGAATAAAGTGGTGATATTGGTAGGGAGTAACTGGTGCATTATAAAAGGATATTTATTTTTTATCCACTCATTTCTAAAGCACCTTTATTGCAACCAATAAAAACATCCATAAAACTTCATCAAGAATATAAAAAAATTAATAAAACAATGTAAATTTCAACTTAAGTGCTTTTCCATAAAATATCAAGAGCAAATAGTAAAGCAATCCTTCTAATGCTCTAATAGGCCTCAAGTTATGCTATAAAAACTCTTTCCTTAAAAAGCATAAATTGTATTGCTATATCATATACACAGAACAAAGGATTTTTGAGGGTAGAAGAGAGGAATGGGAATCTACATTTTATACTTTACTAGTGGCTTGCATGCAACTTTGGGACTTGGGACAAAATTATCTAACATCTGCTTTCAATCTTTTTCCATCTACCAATTGTACACATATTTCTCTATCTATGGAGAAAAATGCCACAGGAGGCAAAGTATGGTCATCACAATGGCTGCTATTCATGTCTGAAAGTTCATTGTCACTACTTCTGAAGCCTTGTACATCATTCATCTAAGAATTCTGAAATGCTTATATACGATAAGCAACATGTCCATATATCTGCATTGGCACTGATTGATTTCAAAAGCAATGTAAATACATAACGGGAGAATTGCACATATAATGAATAGAGAATGGTTAGTATTCTTGTTCAGGAAGAATAAGTAACAAGATAGAGATTATTCACACTGTAAATTAACTAGAATGCAAGGATCATAGATATTAGCTGGTGTTGACTTTTCTTTATTTTGCATGTGACAGTTCCAGGTTTGTAGGCTACATTGGGAAACTGGGGGAAAAAAATCCCCAAAGAATCCCCTAGATTTTTGCCAAAGTGCAGATGTTTGTGTGATTATCAAGTGCTTGAGTTGAGCAAGTCTTTACCTTGTATCAAATCAGCCCTTTTCCTTGAGCACTCTCCCCAACTCAGAACCTTGCAGATCTTTTGCTTAAAAATAATATTTTTTAAATACAGAAGGGTTTTTGGTGGCTCTTAATGTTATCTTCATCAGGACATAAAGGCTTAAGCATATGTGTATGTCTCCATTTTTATGTCATTCATCGTGTGTCATTACATGCTTTTAGATGTTTGACCCTACTTAATTAGTAAGATGGCAACTAGGCAAGTAAACAACCAAAGTTAAACCTGCCGCTTAATACCTGCAAGAAAGCGATGTAATGCTAAAACAGACTTTCTGTAACAGTCTGCCCCTCATACTGTATCCTATCTCAGTAAGCTTGTAAAATAAGAGGCTTTGTCGCTTTTGTGGATTATGTGAATTAATGTATAAATTAGTAATTTCATCTAGTATTTCTCAAACTTCAGATAACTATGACATATTTTTTTCATTTAATTGGGGGCAGACTTCTAGACTAGGATCACCGAACTAAATCATAGTTGCTTAACCAAGGTTTCTTGAATACAGTAACAAACCATTCTGGCTGGGTTCATATTGAACATGCTAAGCCAAACCTAAACAATCCACATAACTCTTGTACTTTTTAAAAAAAACTAATTTCCCTCTTCTATTTTTTTGAGAAATACTGTTTCATCTCGCTGTTTTGGATATGCCTCTTGATAGAAAGGAAACCAATTCAGAAGACAAATGGTTGCATTGCTTCCTCTGATGGCCAGAAATTCGGTTGTATGCCTTCTTCTGGAATAAATTAAATGATATAATTGCAGATGATGCAGACTGACTGGAAGGGAACCAAGCAAGAGATGTGTGCAGTGTCTTTTGTGGATAACTGTTTAAGCTGACAGGGGCCTTACAACTATTGAACTATTTTCTCATAGCACACACTTTGGGAAATACTAACGCATGCTTTAGGCAAATGAACTTTGGTTGTGGATAGGCCTAATTGGTGTCTCAGCATGCTGTCTTTGACAAATCAAGTTAATTGACAGTGTTTGCATTAAGATACATTTCACAAATTGTAACTGTAATCAACTGCTTCACATTATGACTATCCAGAAATCAGTGAGATATCCAAAAGTAATATCATTTTGCATGATATCAGTAAATATTCAGTAGTATTCTTCACTAGTGAGTCAGAAGGCAGGACTGAAATTATACTTCTGTTCAGTGTTTATGTTCTCTTGTTCCTCCGCACTACCAGGTTCTTCAATCAGTGTTGAGCAATGCAAGCATGTGGTATCTGAGCTCCAGGACAGTATGCGTAAGGCCATCCAGATATATCGTATGGTAAGTTACCCCTTCACTTCACTTAGTCAGTTAGATCTAACTGCTTATATATAACTAATTGTATTAATTCAGTGGGAGCAAAAATTTTCAATTCAAGAGCAGACATCTGTTCTTGCCTTTATGCATGATTAGAAGCCAGATGTAACTATACTAGCAAACCAGCAGGTAACCCCAAAGAATTTCTGTGATGATTTTCTATCTTTGCTATTGGACCACTTGCTTGTTGCTCACCAGCAATAGCTTATATTAAAGATAAAGTCAAAATATGTATTATAAATATGTATTCATAAGAGTTGAGCAACTCCTTACTTCTTCCTTACTTGCAAGTAAAATGCCCAAGACCTTTCAGAAGCTTTACGGAACACATTTGTCTGGATTGGTTTTCAAAAGTCAACAGAAGAGAAAGAAGAGAAATCCTGTTGTTTTTGAAATCATGCAGGTAGTCCTTACCGACCATATGTTCAGCGACTGTTTGACGTTATGATGGTACTGAAAAAATAACTTTACAGTCCATTTACAACCTTTGCAGCATCCCTCAGTCACGTGATCACCATTACAGTCAATATGTGTTCTCCTGTGCCTGATCTGTGTTTTTTTTCTTTTTTTCCCCCCCTTGCAGAGCAGAGAGATTGGAAACAAAGGGATTGCAAGAGAGCTGGGAGCTGTGGGCATGCTACACAAAGAGCTTACAGTACTCTCTTGAAATCTCTTCCTCTCCAATCTCTCTGCTCTGCAAGGGGGGAGGGAAAGCAAGTGATTTCTGTAGCAGTCTCTCCTTTGCCTGACCCTTTCCCATTGCTGGTGTGATTGCATTGCTCCCAATGTGTAGAATGGCAAACAGCTTACTCTCTTGAAATCTCTTTCTCCTCTTCTTCTCTCTGCTCTGTGCTGAGGGGAGAAAAACAGCAAACGATTTCTATAGGCAATCTCTTCCTTGCCTGATCCTTTTCTCCCCCCTGCCCTGCAGAGCAGAGAGAGTGGAGAGAAAGGGATTTCAGGAGAGTAAGCTGTTTGTATAGCTCCCAGCCCCAGGCTGCACTGCAATCACATTACTTTCGATGTGTACAAGACAGTAAGCAGGCAGTTGAGTATTCCAAAGGGTGGGTGAGTGGGTAGGAGACAAACAAAAGCCAAAGGGTGTGAAACTGAGTAGTCTTGTCTCTTTACAGCCAGAAAGCACAGTTGTAGTCACATGATTTCCCACTTAGTGACCATTTCACTTAGTGGCAGAATTGCCAGTCCCAGTTAGGGTCATTAAATGAGGGCTATGTGATGGAATGTATCTATGAGGAGAAGAGTGATGTGGGAGATCGGAAGGAGGGGGTGCATTCCAGGAGAGAGGAGGAGGCAAGAGGCAGTTGAGCCTGCAACAGGAGCGTGGGAAGCGAAAAAAGTTCAGGATAGCCACTCCCTAGAATCTCACAGTGTATAGCCACTAGTTGCTGTAGTATAGATTTAGTTTGGCAAGATTCTGTCTATAAGGTGTAAGCTAATAAAGAGACTGGCCTGGCCTGTTTCATCACTGTTCTTGGGCTAGGCCTGACAGACTACCTGTATATTGGTATTTGCTAGACGTGTTTCAGAATGAAGAACATTCACTTGCACTTGAGATAAAGATCTCTTGTATTCTTACATATAGATCTACAGGTAGTCCTCACTGACTGCAACTCCTTCACTAAGCAGTGTGGTTGTTAAGTGAAATGTCATGTGACTGCACTGACTTACAATGTCAGTTCTGGCTGTGGTCATTAAGCAAATCGTCATAGATCATTAAGCACAACATCACGTGACTGCGACTTGTGACATCCTGCTGGCTTCCCTATTGACTTTGCATGTCAGAAGCCAGCTGTGAAGGTTGCAAATGGTGATCATGTGACTGTGGAATGCTACAACTGTTGTAATTGATTGCCAAGTGCTGAATTGCAATCACATGACTGTGGGGGATGCTGTGATGGCCACAACTTTGAGGACTGGTCGTAAGTCTACTTTTTCAGCACCATTCTAACTTCAAACTGTCACTGAAGAGTGGGCTACCTGTACAAGTATTGGCTTGTTCAGTGTGCAGCATAAACTCAACCCAAATGTACCAACAACTCTAATGGTGAGAGACATTGGGAAAATTTTATTTTTCCTTTTTCTGAAAGAATACAAATGGTAAGGGAAAGAAAAGGGAAAGAAAGAATGTTATATCCCTGCAGCCATAGTGCAGCTGTGAGTAGCAGTCAGAGCTTCTAGGACCACTATACTGGATGACAGAATTTTTTAAAAGTCATTTTTTATTATTGTTGTTTATTTGATATTTGGAATCTTCCCAGGGAACTTTGGTTATTAGACAAGTGGCAGAAGTGGAAACAACAGAAAAACCTAAGACAGCGTTCCTCAACCTGGGCACTCTCCAAGAGTGTGGGCTTGAACTCTGGGAGAGGGAATTCTGGGAGCTGAAATTCAGCTGCAGAATGCCCAGATTGAGTAAGGGTGACTTGAATTTAAACACTTCCATGATTGCAAGTGATAATCTTGCAACACAGGATTTAATGTTGGCTGTTTTTGTTTGTCCCTTAGTGTTCAGAGCATAATAAACTTAGCTCTAAAACAAACCTATTTGCATTTCTTTTGCAGGTATCTACTGACATGAAGTCTTCAGCTGACAAAGATGAGATTGCTGGTCTCTTGACTGAAACTTTCTCTGAGATGAAAAAAGAATTGGATTCCCTGAAAGATGGTAAAGGACTTCAAAGGAAGAAAGATCAATTGATGCAGCCAGAAGATACAGTTGTAATGTCATTAGGGGAGAGTGGTGGTGGAACTTTATCTAGTCCTCGGCACTTTGGAGATGACCAAACTCTTGCCTTGTTGGAACAATATTCAGAGTTACTGCTACAAGCTGTTGAACGACGTATGGATAAAAAACTCTAAATTGTGATTTTAAAGGACATGCTTTCAGTGGATTGCTGACAACCATGCAGAAAAACTGATGGAACTTTATCATAGTGACAACTTGAATGAATACTTTGTTGTTGTTTTTTAATTCAATGGGCAAATATCTTTTCTTTTAATAGAAACTGTTCTGTCTACAACTTTTAAAAATGTGCTGGTCACAGTACTAATTCCCTTGTGCCTATCTCCTCCACTAAAAGTGTTATGAGAAATATTTGGCTTAAAAACCATTCTACCGATTAAAGAGAGTATGTCCCAGAGGTGGCCCAGTCTGAAACTGCTGACTTAATTGAATGAGATCAAGTTGAAACTGGTTTGTCCCTCTGCAGTGTTATCTCAATCTAGGTATAAACTATTAAAACTTTTATTTATTAATTTATTTTTGTGACTATTGTTCTGAAGTTTTTTAGCTGTGTTTTGTAGTTGTGGCTGTTTTGACATCTTCTCCACAGTTTATAGTGAGAGAGATTTTGATACAGTAAATATTCTTAGGGATCAGCAGGCAGATTACAAAACAGCTTTCTGCTGTAGGCTGCATTGCTGAATTCTGCTTCCTTATTCCTTTTTATTATGCCAATATGTTTTATTTTAATTTTGTATTTAGAATAGTGCTCATTCTGCTTCTCTTTTCTGTTTAAAGAAAATCCTCTACTTTCATCTATATTTGCTTCCATAAAACACCTATCCTTTGGATCAATCCCCAGAGATTTGTTACAAGGTTTGTTGGTTAAAAGAAAGGCTTTTTACCTGACTAGTTCTACATTTTGTCAGGTTTTATGTAAAACCTGATCTATCAGAGTCAAACTGATGCAGTTGAAGGATTATCCAATTTTTTTTGAAGTTCTCACTAGCTGTGTTATGTCAGTGGAGTTAGCTACTGGGGCCATGATATTGGCATTGCTCTGTTTTTGTGGATATAGAAATGTAGAAAGATTGATGTGATGTGGAAGGGATAGTGGTAGAAAACAGTCACAGAAAAGACTGATGAAAGCTTATAATCAACAAATCTTCAAGGAAAGCTTCAAATATTCCTAACTTCCCAAAAGAGGGATCCCTTTTATCTGTCTATGGCTGAAATCTGAAAACAATCAGGCAAAGTGTGAGTGTTCAGCAAATGCTGATTGCTATGACACTACTCTATTTCCCTTCCTCCCTTTCACTGGAACATAAATAAAGTTGCATGAAATATTACATTCTATATTTTGCCAGACTTCTCCAATTTCATATTAATTAGCTCACTGCCGTTGCTTAAAAAGAGAAGGAAAGTAAGTGCAGATATACATCCTTTCAGTTATGGTGCCCTTTATATTGAATTATTAGTCCTAACATGTCTGGAGATGAAAAAGAAACCATTTTAAAAAGATGAAGTTATAAAACTTTAATACCACTCTCTCAGGTTTGACAATAGCAGTGTTCCTTACTGGTGATCTGATCATTTTAATAAATAGCATCCCTGTTATAGCCTGGCCTTCCTCTCTGCCCTCTAGATTGGTTGAGAATTCCTAGCCAAAGCTAGGAATTCTGAAGATTGTATTCACAGCCGATCTGGAGGGGACCATGGGGGAATAGGCTGATTTAGGTATTTCTGAGTGGCTTTTCCACTTGCACTTTTTAAACTGTCACGTGAACATCTGTCTTCACTGCTCCACAGGGGCTGGCAACCTGCAGTACAGCTTTTTTATCTGAATCTCATTGGCTTTCATTCAGCAGCACTGCAGTGCTAAGAGACCTGCAGAGCTGTTCCCATTTTGGCTGGCCATTGAACTCCAAGGCTGGGGACTTGGAGTAGTTTTAGTGCTATTTAATATGTTATTTCTGGATTTATTTGTTTGGATAATTCTCTGAATAGATTTGAATGATAGTTGGTACACTTGAATGATGGGTCAAGGGTGAGATACAAGCAAGAGTGTCTTATTACTAAGGATAGACTGCTGGAATATACTCTTAATTTAAGTGAAAACTAAGGTGGTTTTTTCTACATTCGCATGTTGGGAAATGTCTTAATAGCCAAAATGTCTTCTTCCCTGTTTACATCTAGACTGTAAAAAGTGTTCAATGCTCAGAAATCTTTCCTGTCCTGGGGCACGTACACTCAGGTAAAGGAGTCATTCTTCCAGATATCTTGTGGCATGAACAATGGGGAGATGAAAGTGTCTATTCAACCTTGAGAGGTGTCAAATGTCTTCGAGAACAGAATCAACTTGATGATAGCTTATACCTCAATCATTACCACATAATGATTAAACAGGGACTGTCTTGGGTAAAAGGTCACATCAAAGCCCCTGTTAATATCAAAGCGAAGTTTCCACTGGATAAGTTTCACTGCATTATTCTTAGATCAGGCACTATTTATTTTCATAGATAGAGATAGGAAAATAATACAGATGGGGACTTGGAAGTGAACTAGAATTGTAGTTTTGTGGGGTCTTGAGTAAGTAGATATTTGAGGAGGAATGGATAGGCCTGTAGTTTCTAATATTACATTGAAAGGCATGATCAAGGCTTCTAGAAAAGTAGTAGTAGGACTAAGAATCAGTTGATTCAGTGAGCAAAATAGAAATGAAATAGTTTTGGAATGGAAAAGAGACATTGTAAGTAGAGATAGTGGTTAAGCAGCAATGTAAATGAATTTGTAATTAAAAATCGAGGAGATTCATTTGCCTGTTCAAGTGCCCTTTATTTTCCCACTGATATGTATGATTTGGGAGGCTTTGGGAATGAATATTCTCAGCCAAAAAGATTTCTCAAAGCCATTTGAGCTCCATGAGACTCTGACCTCCCTTATTTTCTACTTGTGGCCAAGAAGAACCAGGAGAAAAGCCTATGTTTTCTCCATGGAAAATACTTGATGTAAAATGTGCTTTCTAGTCATTGGCAGCACCATATAGTGATTCAAATATAGACTTTGGAGCATCGATTTTTTAAAAAGTAAGATTATAAGATTTTGTGACAGTAAAATGTCAGCTAGCATACTTTTTGTTCTCAACTGCATGCAGTTTTTCTGGTGTTACTATTGATGTCCACTAGCCCTTTAGGGAAACTTCAACAAAGTTTCTTAGGGGGAGGAGAAATATAAACACAGTATTTGAATCTGTTCTATTTCTACTGTTTTTTAATGTATGCATGCAATTTCTATATATTAAAAAATCAAGGAAAGACTGTAAAAGATCCATCTCTGAAGTCATATTTGCATATTGTTTCTGCATTTTCTGAAATGTTTCTTAGTGTGATTTAAAGTTTCTTATACTGTTTCCCTTTTCAAAGACAGCCTTTATAAAACAAATACTGTGCATGCAAATGAGACAAAATGGCCTATCCTGTTTCTATAGAAACATGGGAAAACTTTCAAAGGCTGAAATATGTACACACCAGTTATAGATATATGTATCTGGTGCTTCTACATATGAATGTCCTGTTATTTACCTCTACTTATTTGTTTTCTTTTTGTATTAAATGTCTTTTTGATATTGGGGCTTATTAGCTTCTCCTTTCACTCCAGTGATTCAGAACACATTCTTTCCAAAGAAATAACCAACCAACGTTGAGGGCAGTGTTTGAAAACTTTATAAACAACATTATCATGTATGTGCACTCAGCCACCGGACCTACAGAATCCAATATTAAAAATATTACAGACTCAGAATGCAGAGCAGCTACTGTATGGCCCTTCAGGTACTGCTGACTAAATTGTTGTTTCTCTAGATTAAAAAATAGATTATCCTGTATTATTTGTAAATAATAAGCTGAAGCCGGGCTGCTTATATATTGGGCTAACCTGCTGTAAATGAGGAATAAGCCATGTCTACACAGCATGTCTTTTAAGCCTAGGGCACAGACAGATTTTATCTGTTCTTTCAACACTCCCTTTTTATTCTACACTTGTTTAAAAGGAGAAAACAACCCTAAACCTTGCTTATTTATAAATGGTGTTTTGTATCTTGGCTTTAAGGGAAAATGAACCTTTTAAAATGTCCTTTTCTAATTATTTGAAAATTGTTTTAATGGTTGTGGGGGGTTTGCACTGTGAACTACTTTGGGGGAGTATTTTTAATTCTGCATTCATTTGTATTCAATGTCTAAATTTCAATAAAACAAATTTATTGTTACAAATTTATTTTCCTGCTATTGTTTACTGTTATTTTGTTAAGACAACTGATGAAGTCAGTGGGGCTGCAAAATAAAGTGGAATATAGTATGTTTTCCTCCAGTATGGTACGTACCAGTATGGTACGTTTTGCCTGAGAAAACAGGCAAAAGTTCCGTATACCTATCACTAATTAATGTACGGTGAGACAATCTCCTGTACAGTATGCGCAAATGCACATTTTGCAGGTCAGCCCTCTCAATATAATGTCCATGGAGCATTATATCATTGTAAAAATGCTTCTTAGTAGAGTTGGCAAATAGTTCAGGTTAATGCCTTTCTGTGCCTGTGTGAACCTTTCTGCAATTATGTGACACAATTACCCAAATCTGCTTTGTACCTTATTGAATGCACTTAACTAAGAAATTCTTAATCTTTTTTACTTCAGATTTTTGATTTCCAGTAAATAATGTTACTGCTAAATGGCACAAAGTAGTCTAGACATAATAATTTCAAATCATAATGCATCCTATAAATTATTTACAGTGGCCTTGAAACAAATGTCTCTCTAATAGCCCGTGACAAAAAAAACAACTGCCAAGCAGGTAAGAATTAGTAAATGGAGCTGATTCTATTTCCATATGTTTCAGCAATGACCCGCTAGCTAACCTAGTTATAATGGGGAGAAGCATTAGTATGAATGTACTGTATACAGAAAGTATGATTTATATATTTTGTAGTATATGCCAGTGTAATAAAGATGATGGTAGTAGTAGTCATAGTTTTGCAATGAAAAATAATTTGATTCTACTGCTCGTGACAGCCAGTTTGGTGTAGTGGTTAATGCACCAGGCTAGAATCTGGGAGACCAGGAGTTCTAGTCCCACGTTAGGCACAAATCCAGCCGGGTGATCTTGGGCCAGGCACTCTGTATCAGACCTAGGAAGGAGGCAATGGCAAACCGTTCCTGAAAAAACCTTGCCAGGAAGACTGCAGGGACTAGTCCAGGCAGTTGCCAGGAGTCAAAACTGACTTATATGAGTATTAGATACGTTTGCTGCCTTATATATAAAAAAGGCAGGATAAAAATCTAATAATAATTTCAGCAACAAAATATACTGTTTTACTGAGATTACTATAAAATAGAAAATGATTAAATGAAGTTTTGAAATGAACGTTTGACCTGTTTATTCAGGGACAAAACAATAAATAGGTTCTTAAAAAACTGGAAACCCTTTATGGACTTTTTCCTGGAAACAGAGAAAAGTGATGATTTATGAATTTGATGATTGAAAAAAATATGGAGTTGAAGGGATTTTTGTAATATTAAGGAGGGAAGCTGCTTAATGAATTTGTTAATTTCTGTTACAAAGAAGGTCAGAAGTCACATTTTTTGTTTCTTTAATTTTCCCCTCTCCTTTTTTCTTTCTTGTTCCTCACACTTTTTCTGTTTTTCTTTTAGATTTGTCTTTTATTATTGGAAAAAATTCTCAAATATATATATGAAGAAAATGTTCAGCTTCAAGTCAGTCTTGACTAGATTTCTTTGCTGCATTGTACCGCAATGAAATTTTAAAATCCTGTATTATGATTTAGGTAAGCAGTAGTGTAAAACACCTACTAAAATAACAAACCCAAGCTCCCACACTTCAAATGAAGAGAATATACACATGAGAGGGCAAACAGTATAGTTTCTAAATATTAAACTGTTACAATATGGCATCCTAGAAACATGTAAGAACTCCTCTTGATTTATGTTTTTAAAACTGTGAGCCTCAAGAAAGCATGGGTGGCATATCCCAGGTTTACTTCTGGCCAAGTTTGCAAATAACTTCTTAAGGAAGCATTGAGTTCATTTGCCACAAGATATTAAACCAGGTAATGTTATATGACCAAGAGACTTAGTGAACATGCCCCAAACAATACAATAGGCCTTTTTTGCCCATTATTTCAGCTACATTTTAGTTACCCTGCACTTTCTCTGGTTCTTTATATTTGGGGAAAAAATGAGGTGAGAAAAGGCCAGCATCTTGGTTTTATAAATAATTCCTTACCTATGGAAAGTGGTCATGAAAAGTGAAACAACAACAATAATGAAATGGGGGCAGCAGAAATGCTGCTATAAAAATAACTGCTATGCAGTTACTCCTTTATTTTGTGGGGCAGATAGTGAGTCTGAACTTGGCAGGATTATGGATTGTGATTAAGGTAAACTAAACTAAATGAGACGTTCTTAACCACAATTGAATCTGTGGTCTGGACTGGGATGACTGGAGAAGCAAACCACAACATTTTAACCTGGTTGGCATGTTGTGCAAACTGGGTCTTTGACAGAAGCACTCAAAGGTTTAACTCAAACACATTTAATGATTATATACTTTAACTTTGGTTTGGGAGTGAGCAGGCAGTGAGTCCAAACTGCACCCTTTTAACAAATTTTAGTATACTTTTGCCGTTTTTTGGCAACATGTGAAACCTGATCAGAACTTTTCTATTTGTGGCTTCTGTCTTCAGACTGAACCTAAACTGCAGAACTTGAAACCCAACAGAATTTCAGACATTTTCTATTCTGTCCTTCATCTTTTTTCTTTTACCACCTGGCATGCCTATATTCTAGGGAACTCGGTGTCTTTTGATGGAGAAGAAAACCGCCCTGGCTTCCACACACAACAATTCAAAGTATAGCTCAACATTATTTACTTTCTACATGAAAAATAAAATCCCACTAAATATCTCAGAATATTGGGTTTCTCCATACACTCACATTTACTGGGCCATTATGGCAGCACCCGGCCAGCTTTGCCTGATCGCAAAAATGCTAAGCACGCTTGGAGTTCCTTAAAACTTGTCTTTGGGAGATACCAGGTCTGAAGACTGGGCTGTTTAAAGAATCCCCAAAGAATCACACTGAGGTAGGATATATTGGCCTTTTGCACGACATACCTAAAAGCTTGTGGTGTAAACGCAGTCCGTACAACCGCTTGTTGTGACTGACACACGAACCGAAAAAAATGGGTCGCGAAAACCGCAATGAAGCGTGCTGGGTAGCGTGGGGGGAAAAAAAGCGGGGAGCGGCCTTCTCGTGTCTTAAAATAGGCAGGGGCGGGGGCGCCGCTGGGCTTTATTTAACACATTCTCCTCCAACTGCACCCGCAGAAGAACCGCGCAAGCCCGCCGGGACGCTTGGCTAGCTCGAGGCACGAAAGCTTCCCTCCTGCCCGCGACCAGGCACTGAAGCCGGGTCGGGGCGGAGCAGCGAGGCGCGCACAGCCTCTTCCTTCGCGGAGAGAGGAGGCGGCGCCTGGGCATGGCTCCTGGGCCGGCGCAGGGTCTCCCCGATGGCGGAGGCCGAAGCGAAAGAACGGGCGTTGCGAGCGGTGAAGCGCTGCTTGGTCGGTTTCCCGACCGAAGCCAGGGGTGAGCGGGGTGTGTCTGCGGGAGAGAGTGTTTGCTTTGAGGCACATTAGAGACAATGAAGGCTAATCCTCCTTGGTTCTTATAGTGCATAAATGGAGGTGAGAGTATCATCCATTTATAGACCAGAATACAGGAAGAAAAGAGAATGGTAACAATTCAGTATCATGCTGAATATTGCAGGGCATAAGAGTCCGCTCTTACGCAGGGCCGGTTTTAGGAGCAGGAGCGTCATTGCGGAAGCTGTCTCTCTCTGGCCAGGGCTCTGTGTTAAGGCGGTGTAAAGACCGTCCTTCGCCGTGCAAAAAACCCTGACCACTACAACCCCCACCCTGTCCCCCAAAATCTGCATCGTTTTGCTGCCATCTAGGGATCATCCGGATGTTTGCATCGCAAAGTTGATAGCGTCCCAAATGGATCATAGCACTCTTACAATTCCAGTCTCCAGACCGGTGTGTCTGCTGCTTTCCAGAACTGGGAGTGCTGATGTACAAAATGCTGTGCATTCTGTAGTGAAACAGTGATAATAAAGGGTCGTGTGGAGGCAGTTGGTAGAAATAAAGGGAGGCATGCGGGACATAACATTACCAAAAGCCCAGCCTCGTTCAGCTTCAGCAACTATCAGCACCAGCCAGCGTAGTGAATAGCCTGGGGTCTAAAATATCTGGAGTAGAGTATAAGAAGTAGTCTACTCCTGTTCTGTTTCTGAGTCTTCTGGGAAGAATGTCAGAATTATCACTGCCCCAAGAAAAGGTTTAGGCAGAATTGTCAATCCCTGAAATGATTGCACTGCTCATAGAATTTTTTTCCCTGTGTGAATAGAATTGTGTTGGCCAGAATCAGTGCTGTATCTTGAGAGCCCTCCGCCTCCCCTGGAATTCTATCGGGAATGGATCTGCCCAAACAGACCATGTATAGTCCGAAATGCTTTCAACCACTGGCCAGCTCTGAAGAAGTGGACCTTGGGTTACCTGAGGTAGGAGGCTGCATAGCAATTCCTCATATCACTTAACAGTGTTCAGAGCATATAGATGTCTTGATGGTGTTTCCAGCACATCTGAGAGAGTTCCTCCACTTTTGCCTAAAACATGGTGATTATTCTTTCTGGCCTAAGTCTCTGTTTCTTGCGCAATTATTATAATATCTCTTGATGTTTTTGGTGCAGGCAAATAATGGGCTCCAAGCTGGTGAGTGTGGCAGTAACCCCCAATGGTTATGCTGATGCAGTTTATCAGGACTGGTTTGTTATGCCAGAGGAGCGACATATGCCTTTCAGTACTTTTTTGGACATTTTGGAGAAAAAAGTAACTTCTCCAGGGGTGTTCTATGTACAGAAACAGTGTTCAAACCTGACTGACGAATTTCCTGAACTTATAGGCGATGTGGAGTCTGAGATACCTTGGATGAGCGAAGCACTGGGTAAATATTAAAATCCTAATATTCCAGGATTGGTACTATAGTAGAAATTTGCTTTCTGGCTTTGGAATGTTCCAAAACTTTGCATTGTTCATGGGGATGTTACAGTCAAAATTGATGGTTTTACAACTGTGCATGCAAGTGATACACCTTTTGATCTTGTCAGTCAGGATGCACCACCTTTTTTGAGCTGAGGGCCTTAGAGTGGTGTAGTAGAGATTGCCTGCCAAAAATTTAGCAGATGTATTTTAAACTGTTAATTACAGTTAAGACTACTCCATGTATCATAAGTTAAAAATCTAATGTTTAATTTATCAAACACATGCAGGCCAGCCCAAGGCTTTCTGGAGTCTCATGAAGCCTTAAGGCTACAAGCTGTGCTTCCCATTTATAGCGGAGACATGGGGATGGGTTAGGGGGCAGTGTCAGAAAAGTCACAGGGGAAGCTGTAATCATCCCATCAAAGCCCTGTCCCTTTTTAAATGTGCATTGCAACACACATAAAAAAGGGGTATGACTGATTCTGTAGCTGCAGCCACCAAGTTCACTTTGTTGAGCCCCTTGTGCAAATGCCCCTGATTTATAGATATATTTGCACTGGTGGATAGAGTTGTTTCCCATCAGAAGTTAATAGTGTCCCCTGGAGTTGTTGGTCTTAAGCCAGTGAATTACTGGGTGGGCTTGCTTTGTGATGGGTGCTTGCAGGAAACAAGGGCAGAGTGTTTGAAGAACCTAAGGATGTATTGAAATGGTGTAATACACTTAATTGAAAAATAATTAATTGTATTACATAACTTCAACATCCCCTGGAGTTCAGTAAATGCTGCAAGTGTTTTAGATAGGTGTTTTATGTAGAGTGTTATATTTTACTTGTATTATCAGCAGTTATTTGCCATCCCTAACCATGTCCAACAATTCCATGAATTTACTCAGTTTGGAGGCAAATTCATTGGCTTCAGACTAATCCCCATATTTTGTTTATGTGACGGTGAAGAGTTGGTAGTTTGTGAGTTAATGTGGTATTAGTTCTTCCATTATTCTAGAAGGGGTTAGTTTATCTAACTTTCTCCCTTTCCCTAAACCAAAGCCTATTATAGAAGATTACAGAAACAGGATATAGATTCAAATGTCTCAGATTGTTAGATTGCTTTTTACTATAACACTGAAATTGTATGGTTAAATCGTGGGTTGCTCTATATATCTATTATTTAAATAATTGCATCTGGGTGTTGCCAAAATGTTGCTGAATATTGTAAGGAATTTCCTGCTGATAACAGCTCTTCAGCAGTGAACTGTCTGCCTTAAATAGTGTTGGATCTTCTTTGCTGGGTGGATACTGCAGGAGATTGGATTAGATGGCCTATCAGATTCCTTCCAATTTCTACAGTCTATGATTCTCTGAGTTTCAATTTTGGCTTAAGGGAGATTATATAACCCAGCTATTGAGGATGGGAAAACTAAAGATCAGAAGGGAATGAACATTCATTCATTCATTCATTTTTCAAATTTGTCACCGCCCATCTCACTGCAAAGCAACTCTTAACATGAGCATCTCTTGTTAGCTGCTTTCATTGGGAACATAAAACTATTCATTCTTGTGCATAATAATAATAATGATAATGCATACTTCTGTGTCATTAACAGCTGTTTCGTCCATATTTGTTTAGAAAGGATGTTAAGAAAGGCTGCTAATCAACTGAGTGAAAATAAAGTTCTTTGCCAGAGGATCCTGCAGGATAAGATAACAGAAACCCAGACCTTCTCCTGATTTGATTTTTTTTATAGGAAAGAAGCCTGATGCTGTGAATTTCTGGCTGGGAGAATCTGCTGCAGTGACCTCATGTATGTATGATGAGATCAGTGCATTCTCTGCTGCAATTCATAATTCGAAGGCAAATTTAGGCATCAAACTCCTTTAGAAAAATAAAGGAGAATTTCTGCCTTTAGAGAACTTAATATTTGAAATATCATCTTTACTCCTAGTTGCAATCACTATAATTGGATCTAGTTCCTCACTACCACGTTGTAGCTACTTCATCTTGACAGATTTTTGGAGGCAAAAAAGTGGGTGAGAGTGGTGGTCAGAAAATACAGAAGGATTACAAATAATAGTAATGTGATGTCTGGACTTAATTCAGGAAGTCAGGTAGGGAAACTGCATAATGAAAGGCTTACCCTGAAACTCGCTGAGTTTTTTTAAGTCATGACTGCTGAATATCATTATAATCTGTATTTAAAAAGATTGGTGGATAGGAAAAAAACCCCAACACAATTCATGTGCAAGCATCCATAATTATTCAAGTTCTTACAATTCACACTGGTGCTTTATTTTTGCATTATCTTTATAATGGATGTAACAAATTACCATTCCCTCTTCCTTTTCCCAGTCTTTCATTTTTCTCCCTCCAATCTTAGTACACAAAGACCATTATGAAAACTTGTACTGTGTGATTTCTGGAGAGAAACATTTTCTGTTGCATCCACCAAGTGACCGTCCTTTCATCCCATATGGTATGTATTTTGAGAAATGGGCAGTAATGGTGTCAGCTATATGATATTGATACTTTGCAAGTCATTCAAAATATGCCTGGGCTTGAACTTCCCCAATATTTTGCTATGCAACAGGGACTGTCTTCTGTATAAAGCAAAACATGGATAATCACCATATAGCACGGATGGTACAATTGGTACATACAGCTGAGGTATATGAGAAGCCTAGAAAAGGAACAAGGAGATGCCAGTGTCACATCTGCATTTGGTCCTTGCCCCTTCTGTTGCCTTGGCTGCTCGTTGACCCAGGAGATGTTAACTGTTACGGGAAGATGTTATGTGGGCATAATGCACTACAATAGCCTTTCCCAACCTGTTACTCTACAGATTGTTGGAACAGTAATTTTCAGAACTCCTAGTCTTTGGCAGTGTGGGCTCGGCGTTCTGAGAGTTGTATGACTCAAACATCTGGAAGGCATCAGGCTGGAGAAGGCTGTACTGTAGACTCTGAACTTTTGGCACACTTTCTGGAAAAATCAGCAATCAAACTAGGGATTATGTGGGATTTGTGGTTTCGTTCCTGTTTTTAAAACATTTGTAAAAGCATCTAGGTAAGGGTGGGGACATTTTAAAATGGTGCTATTGTGGGGTAGGGGGAGGGCAGGTCTACTTCTTGCTAAATTCCCTTCCTCTGAATTTGCTGTTAACTTTGAAGGGGGAAATGTATGGTTAAAATTTTCCAATGCTGATAGCAATTGGGAGAACTGGAATTTGGATTGTTAAGTAAAGGGTTATATTTACCCCATGCTCTGACCCCATTCCAAATTCATCTCCCCCAATGTGGGAGAAAAAGAAAGCGGGGGGAAAGTAAGTTCCCGTCATGAATTCCCACAGAATTTATCCCCAGTATTTATAATAGGTGCTTATATGTGGAGTTATTCAAGAGCAAATGTTCTGGGAAAAATAAATTGACATAAAACAAACTGGTTACCTTTAAAATTTTTGTTTACTTAATGCAAAGATTTCCAGACTTTCTCAGATGCCCCTAGCAGTTTCTAAACTATCTGTCATGCCGCCCCAGCAAACACAGAAGTTGTTCTATTAAGTAGTAAAATACCCCTTGGAGCTCCAGTGACTTCACCACAGTGCCCTGAAATGCCATGGCACATAGTTTGGGAACTGCAGAGTTAATGCTAAAGAGTTTACTTGTATCTGTGCTTCATGTTCCAGAGTTGTATCCACCAGCAACCTACCATATCTCAGAAGATGGGTCATTTGATGTTCTAGAAGACAAAACAGCAGAGAAGGTATGCATAGATTTATGCTACCGCCCTATATTATAAGATTATTTTTATATTGCATTAGTTTAAAAATATTTTTCATGTTCCACTATAGATATAAATATTTGATTTGTATTTCTGCTTAATATGCTACAGTTCCGAGACCTATTATTTATTTATTTATTCATTCATACATACAAGCTACAGTGGTGCTTAAAAGTTTGTGAATCCTTTTGAGTTTTCGATATTTTTGCATAAATATGACCTAAACCGTGATCTGTTTTCCACACAAATCCTAAAGCTAGATAAAGAGAACCCAATTAAACAAATGAGTCAAAAACATAATATTTGTTCATTTATTTATTGAGGAAAATTATTCTTATTGAATATTTATGCGAAAATATCGAAAATTCAAAAGGGTTCACAAACTTTTAAGCATCACTATATGTCAGAACAAACATGACTGGCAATTATTATTAATATTCAGTCCTGCTTCCATAATAACACACCATCCAAAGGCAGGCAAGACACAGAGTGACATATTATGATTCATAATGAATAAATGTGCCAGTGCAAGGATATCTAATAACATGCTATGGATTTAAGCAAAAATAGGACATGTATACATTTTAATTACATAGTTGTTTAAAACGTTCTTTGATTTTTGGTTTAGAAGCAAGTTGTATTGCTTAATAATTGTGGAGAATTCCATTTTCAAGTATTTTTCAACTATTTCTCATTAAAAGAGGAAATCTTGATTCATTTCTGGAAGAAATCATTGTCTTATTAATAGCTATTAATATAACATTAACCTTTCATCCTTAAAAGGTACCCTGGATCCCTTTAGATCCAATAAATCCAGATCTGGAACAATACCCAGAGTATGCTCAGGCAAAACCTTTGAGGTGCACTGTGAAGTCTGGTGAAATGTTGTATCTTCCTTCTCTTTGGTTCCATCATGTTCAGCAATCATATGGCTGCATAGCAGGTAAGAAAAATGCCAAAAGTATCTTTAATTTGTAATAGCTACAAGCTCACCAGATTTCTCCATCAATACATATAATGACTTCATTCTTCTGTCTTCAATTAGATTTTTTTCAATGTCATTCCAAAATATCAAATCAAATCTTTATTATGGTCATAGACCAGCAAAAGGAGGGTGGGGCACAGTCAAGTAAAAAGCATAGAAGATACATCAGTCTAACAAAAGAAAAAAAATTATGAAAAGCTAGATTTAAAGGATATACGTATTAAAACAGAAGGTATATATAAAAAAACAAGAGTCCAAAAATTTTTTTTAAAAAGGGTTAGGTACATTAGATGGGTATAGGGGAGTATAAAAGATTAGTATACTTACCTGGCAGGAGAGATACCATGTTCATTCCAAGATAAGCCACCTGTAGATGTGGGCCTGGTTTCACTCATTGGAATTCTACTCATGGAATACTTCTGCAAGCAGACATGTTAGAGGGAGTCTTCCCAAAGAGTTACCTTGAGAAGATTGCAAGAGAAAGAAAGAATTGATAAAAATTACCTTTGTTGTCTTGTAGTAGTTGGAGCTTCCACGTGAAATAGTACTTATTTTTATATAAGGACAACTTAGGATCCAAGCCATAATCTTTGAATAGATAAGAACTGAAAATAATGTTGCATTTTAATTGGAAAGTTCAAATTCTACTGCTGTACTTTGACAGTTTAACAGTTTCTCTTGTGCAAACTCAAGTGAGAGTTGCATATACAGGTAGTCCTCAATTAATGACCACTCATTCAGTGACTGTTAAAGTTATCACGGTGCTGAACAAGTGGTACTTACGACTGGTCCTCAAAGTTCTGCCTGTCCCAGCACCCCTGGGGTCACATGATCACGATCTGGGCATTTGGCAACTGGCTCACACTTACAATAGTTGCAGCATCCTGCAGTCACATGATCACCATTTGTGACCTTCCCACAAGCAAAGCTTCCCACAAGCAGAGTCAATGCAGAAGCTGGCAGGGAAGGTCGCAAGTCACTCCTGTAATTCACTCCTGCTCCTACCGCTTTTTCTCCTGCAGAGCCTGACTATGGAGTACAAGATCCCAGGGGTTTTGTTACTCCATAGCGTGCCTACCTGCAGCACCCCCCCACCCACATTCTGTAGTATGCGCTCACCTGGCCACACTTGCGCAGCAGCCACTTGCTTGCCCTCCCACAGCCAGCAGCAGCCACTTACCTGCCCACCAGCCTGTTTGCGAGCTGCCCAGGACTTGCTTCTTCCTGCCAGCTTCCCTGTTGACTTTGCTTGTGGGAAGCTGGCAGAAAGTTGTGAGGAGATCCTCGCTTAATGACAGCAATGGGGACTGCTGGAATTGCCATTGCTAAGTGATGTGGTCACATGATGTTGCACTTTACAATCACATCACTTAGCCACAGAAATTCTAGTCCTAACCCTGATTGCTCATTGGAAGGATCGATAATGAAGCTCAAGCTCAGATATTTTGGTCACCTAATGCGAAG